TGGTGTTACTCAATATCTTAGCTTCTGAACTTTTTGCAAGGTTTGACTATGGCCATGCTGCAGTTCTGCAGCAGCACAATACAAACACCATCCGGCTGGCTGCAATCACACATTGCCCATTCTTCAGAAAATTCTGTCCAAATAATTTGCTCCCACAGGTGGATAGTGAGGGGTTTCTGACGATGCTTGTGCATACACATTCAGAGGATGCAAAAGGAATTGCATCAAACATAACAAATCTGAAGTGCTCATCAAAGAAAACCTACAGCCAGCTTTTCTCTCTACAGGCAGCTTAAGCCATAGGCTCTTTTCCAGGGATCTTCTACCACCTGTTGCTTTGCCAATTTTATCCTAAATCTTCTATGTGTTCTTTAAATATTCTTTCCCTAGTTCTTCCTTTCACAGTAATTTTAAGGTTGTCTATAAATAGCAAAATCACTAGGAACTGCCCTAATTCTAGGGTGACATTTTTACTGATCTGAAAATGTAACGGTAAAATAATTATGAGTGGAAGTATAATTTATTAAAACAATGTATATTATGTAAAATTAAGCTTTACAGTCAGTTACCTAGCTGCCCATAGTCGTAGGCACTGTAAAACTCTGAATGGTGCCTTGTGCTGCTGCACAGTTAGATTTCAGATCAGTGCCAGAAACCCTGACAGAGTGGTTACAATCTGAAAAGTGTACATGTGCAGAGATACAGAGATGAAGGGCTTCATTTTTTTGGAGGCATAGTGACAGATATTCTCTATTTGTAATGTTTTATTGAAAAACAAAATTCTATTATTTTTTATTTAAATACAGTTTGTAATTTTGACTTTGTCACTCCTGTTTCAACTGCCCAAAAACTAAACATAGAGAAAAACAATTAAGAACTATGAGGAATAAGCTAAATTTCAGATTTTATTCCTGATACATTTTCTAGACTTTTGAAGTTTAATGTTGAAGTTTAGTGTAGTCTGATACTTTTAAAATAATTGTTTATATAGGACCTACATGAAAGTTGATTGAGGCTACTACACAATAGTTTGATAGCCATTCCTTCTGGCTAATTTATGAGTAAGTTTTACTACTAAATAGCTTGAACAATACAGCAGCCAGATGGTTTTTGATAAAACATTAATGAAACCAGATGGGTTCTAATAAACTATTATGGAAGGCTTTTGAGACATGCAAGAAATGTTATCTATTCCTAAATCTTCATTTATCACTGTTGTAAAAGAAAGAAAGTTCTGTGGCTGCCATCTAATCTAAAATTTAAAATTAGAAGCACCAAGTTTATGCAAATTCATGCAAATTGTTCTCCATATTATTATTGGAGACATCATAGAATCATTGCAAGGTTAGACAAAATGACAGAGGGGAGCCCTGTGCCACAACCTGTACACCACAGAAAGGCAGATGAGGCACTACTTCCACCCATGCCAACATCAGTGCCACAGGCAGAGCTCTGACTGGGTTACAGCAAACAGGCTGTACTGAACACATCTGCCTCCTGCATCTCACCATGGCACTCTCCAGTGGTCCTTCCAAGGGACTAGAAGGTCCAGAAGTGAACTCTGTTTTCCTCATATTGGTCTGTAAAGATAGCAGAGTTGAACTTGGCAATACAAGATAGCCTCTCAAGCGTGGCCAAACTGATCTTACAGCAAAATCTTCAGATGGTTAAAGATGCCACCTTCCCATCATCAAGAGCAGAATGACAGTGAATGGGTAGGGAAGCACAGGAGAACAGTTTTTTGGATGTTTTGAACTCACACAGTCCCTCCCGACTCACTGCACCCTCCTACTCATCTCTCCTTCTCAGGACACGGTCCTTGCTAAGTGACACTTGCTGCTGGCACGGTGGCAGGGCCGTGACAGCTGTAGCAGCAGGAGAGGGAGAAAGCTGTTGTGTGCAACAGGAAATGTTTCAGAGGACAGAATGGGAGAGGCAAAAAATACAGAGCATCCCAGCAAAACAGGACATGAATTTCAATGTGGAAGAAAAATGAAGCTGGTTAGTTGATTTGAAAGAAATGCAGAAACAAACAAAAACTGTTGCTCCGATTTTTTATTCTTACAAAAGGAAGTGGAGAAAAAAAAAAGAAATTAATTATTTTGCTGGTGATTTGGCTTATGTTGCTGGACACCTTTTAAAAGATTTGCTACCCCAAATATCATTCTCTTCTAAATAGAAGCCCAAAATAGTTTCACACTTTCTTCCCACTTCCTCCACAGAACTAAGGCCAGCAGAGCCTTTTCCAGCCAGCGTGAGGGTTTTATAAAGGCTTGCATGCAGCAGCAGAGACCTTTGGATGACCTCTGGACACCTCAATATACAGGCACAATTTTAGTGAGCACTTTTTAGCTAGGCAGGATGCAGCCTGAAACAACACATTGATGGCTACAAGGTATTCCTTGCCATTAGTACTGCTGTTCATGCTGTGAAAGCATTTTTTAAAATTTTTAAGATAAAGTTAATTTTTAAAAGCCATTTAAGAAATTCCTCCTTGCAACTAAATTTGGACTGACATCATAATGTCAATGGTTGAAAAAAATAAGGCCAGATTATGCCATCATACAGAAACAATTAAATCTAATACCAAATGCATATAGGATGCAAAAATCTTTTTCTGTTTCTGGCAGGAATAACCATTCTGCAATGCTGACATCTTGTGGTGGCATGCTCAGTGTTTTTAAATGTCATACTTGAGGAATTTCACACAGCCATAGTCAAAAAGCATACAACTATTTTGCTGGGGTCTTTTTATCCTTTCAGATTACCATTATTTTGTGTTATTGCACACTTATTATGTGCATTACTCATTTTTTCAGTTGTGGCTGTGAAGCCACTTGCCTCACTTCACTTATGTAAGAGGTAGCCAGTATTGGTCCCATATCAAGAGCTATTTGTTCCAGAGGCAAAAGTTTCTGGTTTCTCCCTCTGCTCCTTCTGCAAGACTATCTTCTCATGCAGGAGCAATGTGCAATGTGAAGGATCTTCTAACACAGCAGTGATGCACTTCATGCTTCAGCTCAGGAGATGGAGTCTGTGGCTGACAGACCATGCTGATATTGTGTATTTCTCTGATTCAGCATTCTCCCTGCTGGCATCCCAGCTGGTCATGGAGTAACCGTGGGCTGGGAATTCTGCAGTGCACCTGAAGAGCATTTCCACTAAGAGTGAATGCTCAAGGTGGGTGCTCAATCCTAAATGTCTCTGATTTGTAGCCAGTTTCTGTGACAGACTTTGAAGCCTCAAAGTTAACTCCTGCATAGCCCCAAAACTGTTTGCTAACAACCTGAGTTTCTGTCTCTTGTAGTCAATGAGACACATCTGAAAATTAACTTATGTTAGCTGGTGTCATTCAGATGGAAAGATTTCTGTTGAAGACTTTATCTTAAAAACGTTGAAATATTCCTGATGTGGATACCCTCTACTTGGTGTGCATGCAACTGCTGGTAGTGTCCTTAAAATTACCGGCAAGTTTCACTAGTTTTATTTTAAGTCCTACCTCCCCAGTGGATATTTCCATAGCAATGTGGTTCAGTGCAAATTCCTCCCTTGATTTCTCAAAATATGCTTTAGCAGACTCTTGCATTTGAAATGGATAACATATTGCCACTCCCTGAAAAACACATGATAGCTTATGAAACATGTGCTATTACTGGCCAGATTATTACTGGAGCTAGCAATTCTGCAGCTCAGTGCTGATCCTAAAAAGAGATCTCCCAAGGACATGTGGGTACTTTTTCTCAGGCAGGGGCTCTAAGAACAGAGCTTTATAAATTTCATTAGTTTATAAAATTTAAACCATCACAAATCCAGGTACTTAGTTCCATTCTGGCTATTTGTTCGAATTTCTATAAGCAGGTGCAACCCCAGAATGGAGATCTGTTTTATCACTGAATCAATAAGAGTGTCACCTGGGGAAATCAGAAAGGAGTGATGGATTAAAATCAGCTGAAATTAATTGGAAAGTTCGGATACTGCATGTAGCTAAACGGAAGAAATGGATTTACTTTAGCTATGTGCATGTACTGATACCTTTCACCCCAGGACTGTTCATTTAAAGACATTAAGCTTTCACCTTCCCTTTGTTCAGAAATCAAGGTGTTAGCCCATTAAGGTCTGCTGATATTCAAACCACAAGGGAAGTACACAGCCTGTGGCATGGTTCACTTGAAAAAGATTTATGTGATATTTATTATCATGAAAAAACTACTCTTTAAATTTTTGCAGACTCAGCTGTTTCTCACTGGATCACTCCTTAGGCATCATATACAACCAAGTTTTCTCACTGTGGTGTTTTCAGACGGCTGAGATACTGTGACAGCACTCAGGATTTTCATACTGCGGCTCTCCGAGCTGCCCCAGGCTCCACTGACCACACTTCTCCTTTTCCTCAGTGCTGCTGTTCAAGGTCACTGGACTGGGCACCTTGACTCGGGAGCTCCGTTTGGTCCACGGCGGCTGCACAAGCCCCGCAGTGCCAACCCGGAGCTGCAAACTCGCAGCCAAAATCGTGGCAGGGCTGTTGCTTCCAGCGACTTTGCACTGGCCCGAGCACTTCTGAGCACGGGCGACCCAAGCCGGGCTTGAGAGGCTGTCACAAAGATGTCCTAATCACGCGTGTCACAGAACATCGCTGGCACGCAATTACCTGGAGAGACAGACAGCTGCCAGAGTTATCCGCCAGGCTGCGGCCATCTGTCCATCCCAGTAGGAATTCTCCAGCGGCCCACTAACGGGACTGCTCCACACCGAGACCTGCCGCGGGGAGCCGCCAACCCACGCAGAGGGACACTTGCAGCCCCTCGTTCCAACCCTCACGGGAGGACGGTCAGCGCCCGGGGGAGCTTGGGCAGACGGGCGGGATGGCGAGGGCGGCAGGAGCAGCCCCGGAGCTTCGCAGGGCCGCGGCTCCGCGCCTCAACATGGCGGAGGCGCCCCGGGCGCGGCTCCCGCCCGCACCGCCCGGGCGGGGCCTGCGCTGTCCCCGCCGCGCCGCTGCCGGCACGGAGCCCCCGCTGCTGCGGGAGCCGCTCGCCCGGGGCGCGGCGGGCTTGTCACGCCCCGCGGGCGGAGTGCGCCGCATGCCCGGCAGTGGCGGCGGGGAGCGCCGGGAATGCCGTGAGTACGGGAGCGGGCCCGGGGCGGCGGCGCGGCCCGGCCCGGCCCTGCCCGCCTCTCCCGGCGCTGGCACTCCGCCCTTCCGCGGCGCAAGGGCAGCGGCTGCGGCGCCGGGCTGCGGCCCGCCGGGAGCGGAGCGGCCGCGGTGCCCGTGCGGTGCTCCGAGCGGTGCTCCGAGCGGTGGCACGGTGGGGCGATGCTCCCCTGCCCGAGCCGCCCCCAGGGAGGCGGCGGGACCGAGCACCCAGCGGCGGGGCAGCGCGGGGCCTTCCCTCAGCCCTTCCCTCAGCCCTTCCCTCAGCCCGCAGGACGGCGCCCACGGCCGGGGAAAGGCGCCGCATCTCTCCGGGGTGCCCGAGGCTGCGGCACCGCTCTCTGGAGACACGTGCTGCAGAACCCTCGAGGAACAAGCAGAGGGCTTCAGCCGGGGCTGAAATCTTCTGGAGGTGTTTTTGGGGATCATGTGCGTGTGGGCAGCGTTTCTAGGCTTCGTGTGTTAGTTCTATGGGTGCACCTTTTTTTTTTTTTTTTTTTTTTTTAATTATCTAGAAAAGAGGTGAATACAGTGTTTTTAATAAAATATGTAACGTGCATGTCGTCATTTCCATGCTCCACTTCCGTCCTGATACAGACTCATACTCCTGTAGGATTCCAAGGCCATTACTACTCCTACCCAGTGGTTAATGCCTAACAGCCCTTCCAGCACTAAGGCTTTAGTCATAAAAAATCTTCCTCTTTGGCCTTCAGGCGTTGTGTTTCCTTTCAGCTTGGATTGTAGGAATGGATGTGCTGGCATTTGGTAATCCAGTTGTCCCCGTGATACCAAATTCCCTGTGTTCTGTGCCCAGTGTGCTGTGTAATCTTATGTTAAATGCAATAAAAGAATTTTTTTTAAATTGTATTTTATGTGAGAGATACAGAATGTAGGAAATATCAGCCAACTCTGGTTTCTTTTGAACTGACGGGCAAACTCATAGAATGTCGCTTTGGATTTCATGTCCTGCTATACTGAGTTAGTGAGCTATAAAGCAAAGAAGCAGGGATGAGATTTATTTGGTTAGATAAATGGTGAAATTGCTTTCATTGTCTTCATTTGTTCTCATCCTTGCCATTAAAGAATCTTCCTGTAGTCCGGGTTCAGGCTAATTTTAGATTTTTTTGGTAGGCAAGGAAGGTACTCCTTCCTTTTCTTTTTCATGCCTAGCTGTCCATCTGCAAGAGTGAATTCTATCTGATGGGCATTTCCTACCAGCTTGATACCTTGCTTTTTATTTCTGTCAAACTAAGCACAGCTCTATTAAAATTTCCAGAGGAAGAAGCTCCCAAGGCAGAGTTTTCTTAAACCTGAGTCTGTACCTACTCCCTGTCTATTCAGTCAGGATGCTGTTGAGCCTTGTGGCTGTATTAACTCCCTGATGTTGCCTAGGGGCATGATTGCTCTGTGTCTTTGTTCTGACGAGTCGTGAAGCAAGGTATTTAGGAGCATTGTCAAATTTGTGTTAAAGGTGCTGTATTGGAAGACAAATAGGCAGGAATTTGGATAGAATGTTCTTGATTTGCAGGTACATCTGCACCAGCAAAATATGCTCCCTGCAAAGACATGAGCAGCACAGCAATCTCTGGGAGACATTGCCGTCATTTTGAGCCTGAAAACTGCCCCATCTCTCCTGCCTGGTGAGTGTTGCTAGTCCTCAAAAGCACTCTGTCCTCTTCCCTGGATGTTCCTTTTGCTTGTCAAGAGTGGTGATAGGGAATGAAGGCAAAACACTGTGAAGTGGAAGTTCTACAGTCTGATGCAGTGGTTCATCTCATGAGATTTAGTGAGTTTGTAAGAATGCCAAATATTAGGACCTGGTTTTGCAATTTGTTTTATGGTAAACTCAGAAATTGGTGGCCCTTTTATTTTTTCCCAGAGACTATGCCTATGTGAGCTGGCTGTGTAGCAAGGGCATCAGGGGAGTGAGCTGTCATGTAAAGTACAAAAATGTTTGTAGAAGGTTATGCTAGGCAAAGGCAGGTAATGCAGGCAGTGAGAATTTTCTTGGTGGTCCCCTTTGTTATCTTCCTGATAACAAATGAGTCATCTGACTGTTTGCAAAAGATAGACTGCTGCAAAAGAAGTCCTGTGGATAAAGGAAACTAGTTTTGGTTTGAAGTTTTATTTGGGTTTTTTCTTCCTTTTCTGCTGCAGTGGCTCTGCACTACTTTATTCTGTTACAAGTGTTCTCACTGAGATTAAAACCAGGGAGATTAAGGAGGAGACACATAAGAATGCAAAAAATCAGTTTGAGTTCAGTTTAAGAAAAGGTCAGAGAACAAGAAGTCACTGGAAATATTTCCAGTGCCCACAGCTGAGGTGGTGCTGCAGGGTTTGCTGCAGCTGCAGTTACAGTGAAAGCCCCAGAAGACTCTTCAGTAAAATGTTATGCGATTTACGACATTGCTCAAATCCTTTTGATGCAGGTGCTGTTGGAAAACACCCTTTATTTGTTACACAGGCTAATCCACAGAGGATTGATGAGGAAGCAAATACCTCATCATGAATTGCTAAATACTGTGTGGAATATCTGAAATAGAATTTGGGAAAAACTAATGAAAAGGTCAGTTTTCTTCTGCAAAAAGGCTTTTTTCACTGATAATAAAATATGAAGCCTGTGGTCCAAGCACTTATAATCTGTATTCAGGTTTCCATTTTCTGTCAATAATCCTGAGTGCTCACTGCAGTATCAGTTTTTGTTTGAAGTCTCCTGTCTTACACTAGTCTGTGATTGTAAATGACAAATCTAAGATCTGTGTGGAGCAAGACAGGTAATTAATCATGGAACTGTGCATACCCTGCTGAGACGTCTTATGATCTGAGCTGAACTTGACCAGTCAGTGTCTGCTGGGGGACTTAAAGGAATGCTGCTGGATTAAAAAAAAAAAAAAAAAGGAATTTAATTCTGGAGATATCATTAGCTCAGATAACACAGAGTTGAAAAACTAGAAAGATTCTTTTAAAAGATCAAATATTAATTTATTACAATTGTTTGTTTAGCACCTGTGAATGGTTGTTTTTACCATTTCTTCTGTGTCTTTAGCCAGTCTCCCTTACTGGAAATTCCTTGTAAGTACAGTAAAATATGTTCCTGGGGTTAAGAAAAACCTTACATTATAAGAGATGCTGGTAATTTTTAATTAAAATCATTGCAAAGCAACAGTAAGATAATGTGTGTAGTTGTGTAGGAGGTATGAATAACAGTTGTGAATAACAGTTGCAAATAAGGTATGTTCAATTCAGCTGTAGTTATGGAAATGAAAAATAGAAAATTGGAAAACATTGAAGTTAAAAAAGAGTTCATAAATAAAAAAATTAATTGAAACTTTCCAGGGGTGTAGTTCAGGAACAAAATTTAGTAACAAAGATGCCAGCTCACGTATTTGGTGCTTTTTATAGAACAGTTGTTATTATCCATCCATGTGTTTACTCCCTATTAAAAAGATCAAGATGATTTGTGTGAGTAATACCTAATTGCCTTATGTGGAGTAAGTTTTATGTTAGGTAATAAAAGAAGGATCCTGTGGAGAGGCAGAAATCCTCTGCCATTGCCCCGGTGCTGTCCTCATCACAGCTGGTCTCTACGGGGTGCTCATTAGTAGACGCTTTTTTCATAGAATTTCAGGTAGGCTGTGTAAGTTTTTCCTCCCAAACAGATTAGTAACCTGTAAATGTTCCTCCTAACTAGAATTCCTGTATTAGTTACTGAGAACACTTGCACTGGGACAAGTGATTTGAACTCCTTCCCAGCTCAGAGTGGAGATGATAGGGTAAGAACACTATGATGTTCCTTTGTTAATACCAGTTCTCTGAAGGACTTCTTAAAAGGAAAACGTAAATATTTATCCTTGCCAACTATAGTTTGAAAACGGATGTATTCTTTCAGGCCTTAATTGATTTCCCACGATGTTTGGAAAAGCTACAAAGAATTTTGTGAGAGAAGCTGACAGTGGAGGTGACTTGATCCCTGTCTCCCACTTGAATGCCTCGGACAAGCTGCAGCTTTTGAGCTTAGTTACAAAGAGGAGGAAGTTCTGGTGCTGGCAGAAGCCCAAGTATCATTTCTTGACTGTCACCCTGAGTGATGTCCTTACTGAAGACAAACCAATAAAACCAGGTAAAGCCATACTCGGGCAGCACTATTAGTGCAGATAAAAACAGTACAATTCCTAATCTGTTTTGTTATTATTCTCAATTATGTTATTAGAGGGCTCCTTTCAGAGGAATGCTCTGAAGGAATCCTCTGTCCATGGCAATGAGATGAATGGATCTTTTCTCACTTGATCATTTATGTAACTAAAACTGGTTGGTTAAAAAAGAAGAAAATTTTGCCTGGGTAGAGTATTAAATTAAGTGCTGAATATTGTCAGGCTGTATAGTCCTACTGTTTAATAACAGTAGCTGTCTAGCAGCTACATTCATATCCCTAGAATATTATAGGGGGTTGTATGTGATAGTAGTGTGAAACTGTGCTGTGCTTCAGGTCAAAAGCAGTGAATAAACAGTGCCTTGTTTGGGTTAGTAGCCCAAGGAATGGTGCCAGGCCAAGTGAGTTTTGCCACCCATTCTGTTTGTCTTGCATGGACTGTTAAAAAAGGTTGACCCTTGTACTTTTTTCTTCATCCAACTATAGCAGTCCCACCCATGTTTTATGAGTAATGAGATGGAATCCCATATTTCTGGACATACCATAATTCCATAGAAAAAATAGATAACTCCCTAACCTAAGATGTTAATTGTAGCTGGCTTGGAAATATAGCTGATTCTGAGTCAGCTCTCTGGTTTTTAGGTATATAAAATTCAGAGTTGTTTTAAACCAGTTAGATTTTTCCATTTGTTTTCGGTGAGCTTTGGGACAGCCCTGTGATGAGATGTGTCAAAATAATGCCAAAATACTAGCACTATTGTACAAACAGGTCTGCTTTGTAGTTTTCTTTGTAGCTGAAATAACTTTCAATCATTCTTTATAAATATTTAATAGTGTCTGAGTTCAGCACTTCAGTCACTTTATGTTTTCCTAAAATGGCAAAATACTAAAGATAGTAGAGCAAAGATGATGAAAACATGAAGAGAGGAGATGCAAGAGTTGCAGAGATGTAAATTTCATTATTTACCTGTTCATACTGTTCCTTGCCTTTGCTAACTTGCCATATTTTCTGTAAGTATCTGTTCCTCCAATCCCTTAAGGATGGTTTCAGCACTTCTCTTCACAGAAATTACTGTTACTGCTTTCCTAGTGATTGTGGAGTCTGACTTTGCAAAATACATGGGGACGTTTGAAGGAAGCATTGAAGGAAGTATTGAAGCATCATTTGTGAAGTTCAACCTGGGAGCTGGAGGGAAGGGTTACGTGGAAAACCAGTCCTCATTTGGAAACCTGAGGAAGCAGGAGGTTGACTTGCAGCAGCTTATGAAAGATGTCAAGGACAGGTATGTTTCTAGTGTGGGTATTGTAGTGGCCAGGAGAGATTACTGAGCTGAAAAGACTTAGGCCAGCTGTGGTCACTGACCAATTGATTTTGCAGTGTTGCCACAGTTTGAAAATTATTTTTATTGTAAAATTTCATATTAATGACAAATCATATATACAAAAATGAAATTCTCCATATTTTGATATCTTGTTAGTCAGACTTTTCCCTTTCTTGTTTTAAAAACATCTCTCTGTTACTTTATTTTACATTTTTGCATTAATTCCCACCTGGGACAAGAGCCAAATCCTCCCTTCTTTGGGGGACTGTCCTGAGGTAACAATCTGGACAAAAAAATTAATTAGTTCTCTGTGTTACGGGGGCATTGAATATGGAAATTGAACTCAGAACTGCTAATGTTCTTGTAAGCAGGCTTTATAATTTTGTGTGTGTGAGTGACCATGCTAGAAAATGGGATTATTTGAAGTTAAAGGAATAGCAAAGATGAGCAAGCATAGTCAGTGCATATTCTACTAGCTGAACAAAGTATAGATGTCTTGCTTCCTGTTATACACTGTATTAGCTGAGAGGAACCATGTTCTTTATTTTACAACATATGCAACACTTCCTCGATTCCTGTCATGCTCTGAAATTGGATCTGTTTAATGTTGCAATGGGAGTGTCATGGACCAAGGCCTATTTGACAACCAGCTGGCAAGTCAGAGGTCTACTCTATTGCAGGTTGAGGCTCAATGTGAGATGAGGGTGCTTCAATTGTGGCAGCATTGTACTCTAGATCTGTAGCAGGGGCTGTAATGAATTAAATAGCCTTTACTGATACTCTGAAGATAGAGGAGATAGGTTTTTGCTATCAGTGCAGAAGTTGTCAAAAGCAGTGTAAACTTGCTTTAGATACACTGATGTTCTAGAAATAATCAGTTCTCCATTTTCATGGGAACAAATGGATGGTGTTCCTTTTACTGTGAGTGTTCACAAGTCGACAAATTTATTCTAATAAGGTACCTTGTTCTCTTTGTACTAAATGCCTTATTAAAAGCAGAAAATACTGGCCTAAAGGTGTGTACCAGGTGCTTGTAAAATTAATCTGCATCTAGTATCAAGAAAATAGTGTCAGTCAAGATTTGGAGTCTTGTTTCTAGCACTAGATAGAGTCCTATGGAGAAACAAACTACATTAACTTTCATTTAAGATTAGTAAGCTTTTACTTATAGTTACCTACTTTGTTCACAAAAAGAATCCTCCCACAGCAAATCAGCACATCTTGGAGTTACAATCCTTTATGTAATTAAATACTTAGAAATATGTTACCTTCTTTTGAGTGTTGAAAATCAGTAGCTCTGCACTGATCTATGTGTGACTTCTAACTGAAGTTGATGAGTGTGCTACTTTATGCAAGGCACTAGGTCTTAGTTCATAAAAAAGATGCTCATAGCTTATTAAAGCTTATGATGCACAGTGTATAATTGAAACTGAGTCAGTCTGCCTTCTGCCAGGTCACTGAAAATGATGAGGATAGCAGTATTTTTAGTTTTTTCTCCAGTGTAATGCAGAAGCTCACTGGAAGTTGTTGGCAGTGCCTTACAGATGAAATTCTACTTACTTGTTCATAAATATTCTATGATTTATGATTGATTGTGTCTGAGCTTCAAGATTTCATCTTGTTCATGAGTATTGTGTGGAATTCAGGAGTGCTGATACCTACAATTAAGTGATTTTTGGATGCAAAACATTACAGTACTTATAAGAGCATGTTTACTTGTCAGGCCTTGTGAAATGCAAAGCAGTAAACTGTTCTTGATATCATTTAATAGCATGGGGTGCTTCTGCTTGTTTGATCAATCGTTGCTTAATTTATTATTTCTACATATATAACTTAAATTAAGTTGCATTTTTAAAATGTTCTTGTATTAGGCTGATTAATTAAAAATTGCAGATTACTAGCAGTAAACTCTAAAAAGTCAAAGCTGATGTGCCTTTTAAAATAAGTTATGTGAATCTTCAGAGTTGAGCAAGCTGAAAGTGCTCAGTGGCAGGAAATCAGTTTCCTGTCACTTCTTAGGTGAACCTTCTGAAGGAGAATCTTACTGATTTTAAATTAGATTCCACATGCTGCATTGGCTCGTTTTTCTGAAAAAGGGTGACAGCTGAAGGATTTGGGATGAGATGCTTCCTGGCTTGCAGAAGCAGTGACATTGTAAATGCAGAACACAATAATTAACATAATATGCAATACCGAAAATAAAGTAAATTATAAGTTTTAGGTGGACAAACTTGCCATATTTGCTATTACATTATTTTTGATTTTGTATTACATAGCGCTTGCTAGTACACAGAGCACTGTAACATACTCATACATGCATGACTGGGGGCAGAGTCCTGTGCCTTTAGCTCACTTGGTTTGCTATGGATTTAAGATATCCCATCTTCTATTTTAATGCTTTCAGCACTGTCTGCCGTAAGTCCTCTTAGAGAAGCTGATGAAGTATAGGCTGGATGAGCCGCTTTTCAGTGGTGCTCAGAGACAGAGCAGAAAGCAATAGGCACAATCTGAGACACAGGAGGCTCTGTCTGAACATTAGGAAACTCTTTTTCACTGTGGGGGTGACTGAGCACAGGTTGCCTGAGGCAACTGTGGAGTTCCCCACCTTGGAGACATGATCTTTGGCAGACTGCTCTAGGTGGCCCTGCTAAAGCAGGGAGGTTAGACCAGATGACTGTCCAACCTCAACTGTTCTGTCTTCTTCTCTCCAGTAAAAAGGATTGTGAGGATATTATAATCTCTGTACTTCTCATATATTAACAAATGTGCTTGTTTGTTTTTTACCATTTCACTAAAAGTCATGGAAGGTGATTGAATGAGAAGTTCTGAGAAGACAGTGACAGCAGTCAGTCAGTTCACATCAACTGCAGAAAAAATTGCCTGTCACACTTCCATCATTTTGTGTGAATGATTCCTAATTCTGTGATTGGCATATTAGGAAAAGAATTGTGTTTTTGGCAGCATGTTCTGGCATGGCTGAAAGATACTTTCCTACTGTTGCATATTGCACTTTAGTTGAACTAATAGAACTGCATAGTATTGTCCATGCTGAGACAAAAATAAATGTTTATTCTTAATCTGAGTACAGTGGAAATTCAGCCCATTTTGTGATTTATTGTTTAAAACTCCTTGAGCATTTATGATTGTGATGAGAAAACCATTCCGTTTTCTGCCTAAGCTGCTACATGAGGTAATATGAAGTCACAAAGTGTTGTGAGACAGGATTGAATAAAAGCAATTGTGTGTGCCTGTGATTTAAAAAATAAGGAGTGTGTCAAATAGAAACTAGAGAAACTACCTGTCACTTGCAGTCTGAGAAGTCTCTGTTATTCTTAGGGAAGATGTTCTGTGAAGTACGTGTCGGGTTATTCTGTAGGGAAAATAGCAAAATGCTATCAATAAGCTGACTATTGCAGATGCTGTGTTCTGTAAGAAGTAGGTCAGAGAGGTTATATTTGAAGTGGATTAACAAAAGAAATAGGCATCTGTGCTTGGTGGAAAATGGCAGTGAGATTTTACTCTCTGATACTCATCCCTATTAGAGCAGGAACAAAGCTGAGTGAAGACTCTCACTTGTATTTGTATGGAAGACATCAGACTATTGCACATTATAAATGAAGTGGAGCAGACGCTGTGAGCATGAGCTGTCTGTGTCTCTGCAGCTGGGAGAGGAGGGGTATTGAGGTGACATTGCCCGGTACAGGACTGAACAGGTTTTTTACTTTTAAGTAGTTTGGACCAGTGAAAATTTGTGCGGACAGGCAGCAGTGCTGATTTCAGTGTGAGGATGGAGAGTACTTACAACAATACCCATTCTTCTTGGTATTTATAGGAAATTGACAAGTACCTTGCTTTGAGGATTTGTGGGTGGATTACCGAGAAGGTTAGACAGGATTTGATGGAAAAATGGCCCTATGGCCTCTCCTTTGTGGGAAATGAGGTCAAATTCTGTGCCTAAAGGAAAGACCCTCATTCTCAGCAGTGGAGTTTAGAGCTTGCTCGTGCTCTCTACTTTAAGTGTGAGAGCCTGATATGTTGCCAGGTGTTGTCTGTTTTTTCTTGTCTTTATTTGGTTTCTACCTTTCTCTTTTCTGACTCCAGTCTGCGGCAAATTACCTTTGTGTCTCTATTGTCTACTCCTTTCCTGATGCAAGAAGAAAAATACTGAATGAAGGTGAAAAAGTCTTCGCATTACAGGAGAATAAAAGTGTTTAATCTAGTTAAATGTGGAGTGAGACCAAAACTCAAATTATTTTGTTTACATGTTTGCCTGTAAAACTTCCAGCATAGTAAATCATTGACCTCAGGAACTTTGTTTAGGCAGAACAAACAATCAAGCAAAACCCCTTATTTGTATTTTTAAAATAATTTTTATTTATACAGGCTTGTACTCTGTGTGTTGATAATGGGACTTGGCAAACCAACATCTCATTATATTTTCTACTGTGTTTTTTTTTTGAGTGCTTCAGCTCAGCTCCTTGGGGTGGGACGGGTAATGGTGATGTAGTACAAATGGCACAGGGTTGGTGGGGGCTCTTGTACAGTACAGAGTGAAAGAGATAGTAAGAGCCACGGTTGTAGAACAGAAGTAAAAGCTCTGAAACATGACCTGTAAAGTAAAAAAATTCAATGCAATTTATGTGCCTTGCATGCATGTATTCTCAGAGATTTACCTTGGCCATCTTGTGTTACTCAGATATTTTCTTATATTCAGTGCTAGGCTGGCAAGTAAGTTCAGTTCTTGCAAAAATAGAGTCATAGACTCAGCGGCCATTGCCCTGCAATACTTGAAGCCCTGCTCTGATTATCACACTTTAACCTTCTTGTGGTTTGCTCTCGATGACTGTTTTCAGTGATAATTTAGATAAGATGGGTACTTGCTTACCTCCTGTCATCTCCTGCTTGAGTTGCTGAGGAGAGCAGAATATTTTCCCTTCAACAGGCTATGCCCCAGTAATAACTCATGATGTGTCCACATGCAACCCCAGAGTTCTGTTTTATGATAGAAAGTTCAGTGCCAGAAGTTTGGAGGAAAGCACTTAACTGTGCTATCCTCAAAGAAGAGGTTTCTGTAGCTGTGGGCAAGGCTATGTGTTTGAAAGCTCTGAATTTGGAGCTCACTAAATGTACTGGGCAGAGGAGAACATTTCTGACAGCTTTACAATGGGACACATCCCACTGAAGGCATTTGAACCTTGGGGCTGTGGCAGTGGCTGTCCCTGGCACACATTCAGCTCTGTGCAGGGGATTTCAGGTCACCTCTGGGCACTGCCTGGGGAGTGCTGCAGCAGCAGGTAGCTCTGTGTCCCTGTGTGTCACTGTCACTCCAGAGCCCTCCGTGCTGCAGCAGCTCTTCCAGCATTGCCTCTGGGATTTGTTCACTGCCCCTCTGCAAGGTAACATCTTCTGACTCTTCTGCTCTGCCACTCTGCTGCTACTTCTGCATCTGGACCTCAAAGCCAGCAGTGTAACAGGGTCTGAGCCAGTCCTGCCTCAGGCAGAGTACTGCAGAAGCAAAAGTCTCTTGAATTTGTTTGTATTTCATTTCCATAAGGTTAGGTCATATTCTGTAGGCTTTTTCAATTAACACTTATTCAGAAATAGAAAATCTTTATTTAATAGGTGTTTATCTCCTGTAAATTTCGGAGATATTCAGCAAATTTCTCATCCTCTTAAACAGTCAAAAAATACACTTGAAAGCAAATGCTTGCTTTTGTGCTTCTTCATTGTAATTTTCTCCCTATGGCTCCCTAGGTGAGATGTTAAAACTGCAAGTTCTAGGTATTTTTAATTTGTATTTTCAGGTTGCTTAGCACACCACTTTAAAAACATAAATAATTGTTGTAGCATATATGACAGAATGATAGGCTTGATAGACTGTAACTAATAGCTCTGGTTTGGCAGAAACTTCTGAGAATGGTGAGGTTTGTGGTTGCTTGATATTTCTTGAATTTTTGCTTAATCCAAAGGTTCATTGCATTCCAAGCATAAAGCATGACTTTGCACCAAATGAGAAAAGGTTGTATTAATAATCTCAGGAATGTTTGGGGCTGCTGCATTGCTTCAGAGGTATTTTCTTTCCCTTGTCTAAACAATCAACTTTAAGGTTTTCAGACAGTTCATTCCAACTGATTGAACTTTCATATAAGCATGTAACTCTCCAAAGATCAAAAATTGCCTGAGGATATTTTTAATTCAATAAAAACCCCAGCTGACTTCAGACTTAAACAGACTGCATAAATTCAAAACTCCAGAATCTAATAAATCTAAACTTTTTTAATTAAAAGTGGAGATATCTCGATTTAAATGAATTGGAGTCAGACATGTCTTTCTGTCACATTTTTGGGAAATTGCCATTTAGCTCCATGAATAGCCATTTACAATAAAGGAGAGAAGAAGGACTGAATAATTTGAGTCAGGGATAGCAATCCTTTAATCTTCCAGCAGTTTTGCTAGATTACCTGTTCATAAAAAATATAACATCGCATCTGATGACCTCCAGTGAATATTTTGCAAAAGTATAATATAATAGACACATTTTAATCAGTTAAATACAATTAAGAAGTTGCTTAACTGTCACCAGAAAGTCTGTTAATGCCCCAAAAGACAAGTAGTGGATTTTGTAACATTTTCTTTGAAGATAAACCTCCTATATTGTTTCTGGGAGTTCACTTTCTATCTTCTGCTCATTCTAAGAAGAACCTAATGTTAGAATTATTTCCAGCAGCATTTAAACAGATGCTGAATTATGCTGTGGAGTAGGGATGGTTTATTAAGTTGGTGCGTGGGCTAGAGTTTTGAGCTCCCCCCCACAGTTAGTTTCTGTTTTGACTGTGACTGTCCTGGTCACCAATTCTAAATTTTGATTCTATACCAATGAATAACACAGGACTTTGAAGCAGGTGAGTTTTTTTTCAGTAATCCCCAGTCTCAAAATCTATGAAATCTTCTGTTTTCTCATTCAGCCCTTTGAAATACTCAGTCACTGCTGATCCCACTCAGCCTGTTTGGGGTTTAGGTGAGCGCTGAAACAGATCTATAGCAAGCAGTGGGGGTTGGCACTGAGGCATTGCTGTCATTGTGTCCCCCAGCCAGCACCTCCTGCCATGGCAATGTCAGTGTGAGCTCACAGCAGGAGAGGATTCAGTCCAATGTTCAAGAGCCTGACTGCTTGGTTTTGTATTACCCAGGAAACTTAAAGTTGCCTTTGGTTCCCTCTTGCTTTTTTGTTTGCTTAGAAAGTATCCAGACAACTTCACTTTTTGCTCAGAGTAGGGAATCAAGAATTCAATATATATTCAAATGTATGTGAGGATTTACTGTGGAATACATATTTTCACTGCTGCCAAAAAGAGGACATCATTTTGAGCAGGCTGGTTATAAAGAAACCATTTTTATTTTTACAATAAAAGCTTCTTCAAGCAATTAAGAAAGTGTGGTTGGTTTTGATTTTCTTTTTTTTTTTTTTTCACAATTATAGTATTGTTAATGGTGTATTTTCTTTTTCAGAACAATAGATCTAAACAGTAGTTTACTGCAACAAGTAATAGAAAGAAAGCGTGAGGTGTTGTGCATCTTGAGAGAAAAGATAATTACAACTCAGAGGTGTACAATATCCGAACATATCCAGACAGAAGAAAAAGTCAGTGGTTTGATGGGATGCACTGCAACAACAATAAAGGTAAAAGTTACTAAAAATCTGCAAGGATTAGAACATTTACACATTATCTGAGAAGAAATTATTTCTCCAAATGGACTTCAGAGTATTTTTTGTGCTTTCCTAATGTGCTGAACAAACTGCAGTGCTTGGTTGTGAAAATTCTATATGGTAAAATGTTTTTTCCATTGCCTTTCTGGCAAAAGATGCCATATTTTTCTATGAGCCTGGAATGTAGTTTCCATCAATACTATTGAATTGTGATTCCGTTTCTCTGTAGATTCCTGCCTACAGAGAGCATGAAGCAAACCTAAAACAATTCATTGCAACTGAATAGCAAAATGCATTGCTGAATCACATTTATTTGAAAAGCCAAGTAATCATTCATCACAAATGGTTGAAGTGTCTACTGAGTTTTCATATTTATTGGGAAACTATTCGTTTTCGATCATAGGAGTAGAGATTAACTGCATTATGAGGCTATCTGACCAATTGCCTGTGAACTGAGAAGGGATTACCAAAGTCAAAATGTGCTCATTTATTGCAAGTTTGGGTTTTTTTTAAAGCTGGAAATCACTTCTTTGTACAGTGTGTCTCCAGTTGCAGGAATCCAGGAGCTGCAGTGTAACAGCCTCCTTTGCAAGTGCCACCTTCCTGGTACCAGCCTCCAGCTGGGCAAAACAAATGTCACAGTAGAATTGGGCAAGGCAAGGCAGGACACTCAAGTGGGTGCCCACTTCCTAGTGACATGGGGCTTCATGTGTGGCAAAAGCTGCACCTGGAGCTTAACTTTGTGCTAGGGTAGCTAAGAGAGTGAGAGCTGCTCTTGGCACTGTGTTTTTACCTCATTCCTTTCTTAGATGTCAGATGTAAGGTGTAACACTTTGATGAGACATCATGAAGAATAAAGCATATTCTATTCTCCCTCTGTATTTTTCACCTTAATTACGTGTTTAAGCTATGCAGTAGCTGAGTCAGATAAATGGTGATTAAATCTGTCTTGCAGGTTTCAGTAAGTGAGGATGGAAGTCTGGTGAAGGATTCTAGTGTGATCCTTGAAATTCCTCCTGCAACCACTATTGCCTATGGTGTAATTGAACTGTTTATAAAGCACAATGGCCAGTTTGGTAAGTGAAAAGCTCTTTTTTGTGGCACCCAGTTCAACTGTGGACAAAACTGTTTGTCAGAAAATAATTTTTGTGTTTCCCTGTGCATGAAGGTGATTATGTTGTCCTTTGCCTTGATAGTTATTTGTGCTAGAAATACAGATTTAATCATTTTAAAACTTTGATATAGTAATGCTTTTATACTTGCTTGCATATACTGTAAACTCAGAATGACTTAGGTTTCAGGGAACCACAGGAGATTGTGTAGCTCGAGCCTCTGCTCAAGGCAGGCCCAACTTTTGAACTTTGATCCAAGTTCAGTTAGATCAGATTGCTCATATCTTTGTCTATTATAAAGTTTTGATTTATCATCAGAGACAGAGATTCCATCGCTCCTCTGGGTAGCCTGTTGTCATATTCCACCATTATGTTGAATTTCTTTTCCTTAATATCTGCTGTTTGCTAAATATCTCCAGTCTGTGAATATGGGGCTTGTACTCAAGAGTCCAAAACTGGACATAGCACTCTGAATGCACTTTACCAGTTGAAAATTCAGTTCCATCAATCCACCAGCTACAGTCTTGTCAGTACAGCCCAGTATGCAGCTGTTCTGGTTTAGGGCAAATTTGGGAGCAAACTTCAATAACTGCAAGGGCAAGGTACTGATCCTCTCGGCTTTATTGTCCATGTCTTTTGCTGCAATTTGCTTCCAGCCAGCTGGCCATTGGCCTGGGCTATTCCCTGTTCCTGTTGCAGACAGTGACCTGAATGTAAATCAACTATCAACCAGGAATGTTTAGACACCAGTCATGTTAAGAACAGAATCGTTCATTCAGGACTGGAATTTAAACTTTTCTAGCTCACACTTTCATTTAAAGATTGCCCTCAGAGTGGTTGCAGAAATGCCCTTGTCATGTTGTCTGGTCATGCTTTACTTAAGTCAAGTTGAATATTTTTCAGGTTAAAAAAATGTTGAAATTGGCTTTGGGGGGAATTGTATCTCTGCTCTGCACAATCACTTGGGTTTTTCTTTCTTGTCTATCCTCATTTAAACTCACGGACCTGAAGGAGGTTTCAGAGGATGTTATGCAAGGAGGAATAAAATCAGATAGCAGAGCTGGAAGTTGGGAAGGACTGACATGGAGAGAAACAGGGGATACATTGAAGAAATAATTGGAGTAGAGTTGAGGTTTGAATCCAGGATGTGCTTTACTCGGATAAGAAATGCAGAACATTATCTCTCCAGCATACTCCTTCTGATATTAAAGAAGTCTGTAGGCTCAGGAATGTACCTGTAAAAAGTTTCTGAAAAGCGGAATTGCTCTGATGTAGACTGAACAGAGATAGTAGCAGAGGATGTTGACGTCATGGTTATAATAGAACTGTAATTCAGAGTGATGAAGTGCAATTAAGGCTGTCTGACTACATAGGTATGTAACTGATAGCCTACTTAGGTGATTTTTACATGAAATTATGATGTCCTACTAGCTAAGAATGCATGGGTCTTGTTAATGATATGTATTTCTCTGCTCTTTCTCCACTTCTGCTTCTTTTTCTGTTTTTTTTTCATATTTAATATTAACATCTTTTAAGCTTCAAAACCAGCACAGTTTGTTTCATTGTTTATCTTAAACAATCTATGTCCTGCCTCTTTTCTTTTTTAATTTGTGCTATTTTCCCTTGCCTGAGTGTAATTGGGAAGGTAAAGGGGAGAAACTGATAACAAAATTAGGGCTTTGCCAGCGAGGGTGAGTATGGTGGAGCCTAAACTTCAACTTGTTAATGTCTGAGCAGCAGGGATCAGTGTCTGTTTATGGAAATAGAAATAGCCTTTGAAGTTAAATCCAAGGATTAATGTAGTCCTTTCTCGTGAGACTGAAAGTGACCAATAGTAGGTGTAACCTAATAGGATTCTCTTCACAGATAATTGTGGAGTAAGATGCATGTAAACTTTTTATTGTTTCTTTTTCTTTCCTACTGCCAATACCTGAGTTGTTCTGTTAGAAAGAATGGTATATATTTCTTCTAAATGTTCTGACTAATGCAACTGGACATATTTGGGTATTTTTATAAAAAAATAAAATTAAAAAAAAAAAAGAAAAGAAAGATCTGATACTTTTCTGATCCATTTACCATTGTGCTTTCCTGTAATCATTTGGTTTGATTTCTACAGGCTAATTTTTCACTCCATGTAAAAGCTGTTTCTGCTTTAGGCTTTGCACTTTTGTGTCTCTGAAGTTGCACTGAAGTGCCTCTTGTTCTTCCTTTACAAATTGGGATATAAAAGCACCCAGCTGATTTGTTTTGTTTTGTTCATGGCTATATGTGTGTGGTTTGCTTTTTCTTAAATGTCTGTAAATTAAACAGTCCAAATATATACACTTTTCTACATAAAGGAGTCCTTTTTAATGTTTTCATTGATCACCTCTGGTTTTATTGCATTTTTGTTCACATTTCTGAGTAACTAACAAACTCTTAACTGCACTTTTGGAGGTTTGTCATTGATGAATGTAATAGAATTCAATACAGAATTTATTAACAGTCCTTTTAATACAGAATTTTTAGTCCTGTGTTTTCCTGTAAATTGAGTCCTATTACAAGATTTAACAACATCATCTGAAAAGTTTGATTTCCCTTATTAGCATCATTTTGCCTCAGGAGGGGAGGCAGTGTATTAGCACAATTTTCCTCCTCAGGGTTCATGTGAAAGCCTTGTTATTTTCAATGACAGTAGCATGAGTGAGTTGGCCTTGTGGTGCCTCAGCTGCTGTCCAGGGTCTTGTTGCTTTGGGATGCTCTTTGCTTGTGTTAAGCACTTTCTGCTCCTCTGTAGCTCCTTCTTCTCCATGAAGGGTTATGCAAGCATAAAGGTCTGTCATTTTCTTTCTTTATGGCAGGGATTTCTTTGTCTGCTTTCCCTTTGAAAAAGCTTTTTGCTGATGGAGTGCTCTCCATGCTTTCTCATCTGCTTTGAATGTCCTTAATTTAGTAAGACAGACACTTAAAACTGCAGAAAGGTTATATTTAGGTTTTGTTCCTGGTACATCTGAGCACTGTGCTTGATTAGTTAAATTTTGTTTCCCCTTTGCTGTCAGGTATTACTTTAAAATTGAGTTTCTCTTGCTAGCCTGCTTGTGTTTTCCTCATACCTGCTGCAGAGTGCCATGGGTACAATGCCACGGGTTCAAATCTTGCATTTGAGCCAATGAAAGATGATCAGAATCTGCATAGAGCTTTGACTGTATTCTGCATCTTTAGGGCACAGTGTTGGACACATGAGCATAGAATTTGATACTCCAGATTTGTCAGCATAACTCTTACAAAGGCTCCCTGTACCTTCCAGCACTGTGGGGGCACTGGGATGGCAGGACAAGGACAGTCCTGTTTGGGTGAGTTTGGCCAGCGCTTGTCACAAAGATGAGGCAGAAAGGGTAATCCAGCCAGGGCATATTATTTCCTCTGTGATGTTACTGGAGAGAGACAGTTCCTGCAGAGTGATTCTGTTAGGAAACATCCTGAGTGATCTCCTTTAGAGACTCTCAGAAGTCTCCTGTTGTCCACCTCGAGGACTTGAGAATAGACCTGTGGCTTGGCTGAGAAAGAGGAGTCTGCCAGTGCCGTGACCAACAGAAGCTCTATGAAGGACTCTCAAGAGTTCTTACAAATCTCAGAGAATACTTTCATGTGTCTCCTTCATGAATGGATCCTGTTGCCTGCATTACAGCATGTCTCTTAGAGGGTAGAAAAAGTACAGACTGGGGAATGAGAGGCTGGAGAGCAGTGCCGTGGAAAGGGACCTGGAGGTCCTGGGCAGTGGGAAGGTGAGTCTGACTCAGCAGTGTCCTGGCAGCCAGGAGGGCCAGCCCTGTCCTGGGGAGAGTCGGGCACAGCATCCCCAGCCAGGCAAGGGAGGGGATTGTCCCACTCTGCTCCGAACTGTGGTTGCCTCACCTAAAGTTCTGTCTGCAGTTTTGGGTACCACAATATAAGAAAACTCTTAGAGAGTACACAGAGAAGGGGAACAAAGATGTTGAAGGGCCTTAAGGGGAAGCCATATGAGGAGCAGCTGAGGGCGTTTGATCTGTTCAGCCTGGGCAGGAGGAGACTGAGGGAGACCTCACTGCAGTTACAGCTTCCTTGTGAGGGGAAGAGGAGGACAGATGCTGATCTCTTCTCTGTGGTGACCAGCAGCAAGGAATGGCCCAAAGCTGTGTCTGGGGAGGTTTAGGCTGGATATCAGGAAAAGGTTCTTCACTCAGGGGGTGGTTGGGCACTGGAACAGGCTCCCCAGGGAGGTGGTCACAGCACCAACCTGACAGAGTTCAAGAAGCATTTGGACCACACTTTGAGGCACATGGTGTGATTCTTGGGGATGGTGCTGTGCGGGCCAGGAGTTGGGTGTGATGATCCTTGAGGGCTCCTTCCAGCTCAGCGTATTCTGTGATTCTGTGAAAACATCAAGAATTCCTGCCTGCATCTTCTGTCTGCAGCATCCTGGTTTACAGTGTCAGCGGGAAGTTTTCATGTTATTTTCTGTCTATGTTAATTTAGTTCACAGGAGCTGGTGTCATGTTCTGTAGGAGGCAGCTGCACCACAGGTCTTGTCTGTACACACTGTACCAAACATCAGGGCTGCAGGAATGCTCAATAATTCACATGCACAGCAACCGCTGGCGTTCTCCCCGTCTGGAAGAGATGAGACAAGGAGAAATGACATGCGAGAACTCTAGAAAATACAAGCTATCATCTCATTCAGTAATTGCTCATGTATTTTATTAATTATTGTTTTTGATTGAATTTCTAATTACAGAGTTCTGTCTGCTAGATGAACAGCAAGGAGGTTTTGAAAAAGAAAGTACAGAAGGCTCAGCTTATCCCCATTCAGTTCAATTCAGAGATGCTTCGTTCCTCTATCAGCCAGATGCTGTTGATAATGAGATGCACTCTGGGGCTAAAAACCTCGTTCCCAGTGATGCTTCTATAAGTATATTGAAACAAGGTATTACCAGAAATGCTTTGCATGATTACATTACAGTGCATTAAATAACCTGATAGGCAGAAATAATCTGGTACAATAGTAAGTAGGAAATCTTGTTAGTTCATTTTAATAGCTCTTATCAGATACTCTTGGGAGAATGCACTGAAAGAATATAAAAAACCAGTTTGCAGTAACTATATGCAGTGGACTCTTTCTGTGAAAACTCTGAATCCATCTGTCATAAATATCATCTTACAAAGTCAGATGGCTCTTTTACATTCCAGATAACCTCTGCAAGTTTAGTGATGATACATGCTTTCATTCAGAAAGGGTCACTGAAAATAGTTTCTCATTATTTGAATACTCCCAGTAAAGCTTCCCAGTTAGAGGTTAAGTCTCAGACATAGACATCTCCCTTGCCTTCACTTAACCTCATTATTTTCTAAGAAGCTTTGTAACTGAGAAAATCAAAATGTGATTTAAATGGAGATTTGCAAATTGGTATAATGGCCCAGGTACAAGTTTTTATTGTAGAAATGTAGAAAGAAGAGGCGGGAATGTTACTGGTGGAATGAAAAAAAGGAAAACCAGTCAAGGCCTCAAAATACACTGTGCTTTTCTCAGTTCTTGGTGGAGTTCTTACAGCTGATTCTCCTGATGAATGTCACCCTCTTGGCTCTAAGTTTCACCCATGATTAATGGTTATTCAGTAAACAATGTGTAAAAAACACTTGTGAAAGAATGGTATGCCACTGCTCTATTTTTTTAGTTTGACATACCTATTTGCTTTTCTTGCTTAAATGGCTCAGAGATCTCTTTAAATAATTTAACCTCTGCTGTCTCTTGGAAAATGAAAAAGCTAAAAAAAATGTTTTTACTGAAGAATTTGGAAGTACGTTTCATTTTCTGTTATTTGTGTAGACAAATTCATACCATTGTATCAGATAAACAAAATACCTGCCTGTGGCTGGGCTTTTTTCTTCCCCAGTGAAGTAATTCTTTAGTTATAAAGGATGTCTTTAAACAGAGCATGTTTCTTGACTGGTGTGACATGAAGGAAAATTTATTTTAAACAAATTTGAGAACACTTGTATGCCCACATTTTTGGAATGTAGAAAAAAACCATTCCAACCTTCCAGTTGGCATTATTGATTTGAAAGCTTCATTTTTTTAGCAACATGGTAATTTTATGTCACAGAAGATTTCAGTATCATAGTTGAATTGTGAGAAAATGAATGCAGAGCACTCCCTTGTACTTAATGAGTACTCTTCATTCTGCCATATAAATGAACATTCTCTGGAGATAAACTTGGAAGTGGGAGATTTAAGATGTAGTTAGTTGCTTAACATTAAAGTATTGAACTTCAAAAATATTAGAAATACTGTACACCAAAATGTTGGTTCTTGGTAGCTATTCTTCTTTCCTAATGTTTGCATTAAGGTTTCATTGGCTCTTTAGGAAATAAAATCAGATCTGTTCAAACCTTCCATTGTAACTCATGCTGGTGGAAATCAGGATGTCAGGGATGTTAAGGTGTAGTGATAAATGAGCTTGTGAAACATATAGCAAAATGTTATCTGTTTTTACTGGCATTTGTGTAGAAATACTTAGTTTTATTTTCCACTGCTTTCTTGGGAAAGATCTGTCACGGTTGAAGATCCAGTTCCAGCCCTTTATGAAGCTTACAGAAGACAAGCAAAGAGCTTTATATAAAACCCTTTGTGACCTCTTACTCCATGAAGAAATGGTGACTGCCCTGGGGAACACGGTAAGATGAAGAACCTTTGGATTGCTTCCTAAAAGTAATTCCAGAATAGTACTAGCATTCTCTTCTGCTTGAATTTTTCTCTTTTCAAGAAGTTTTGCATATTCTTCTGCTTTCAGTTCGATGATATCTGCATAGGAGACAAGCCAGATCTGGAGGAGTTAAAACTTGAACAACAAAGAGACCTCCTTGACTTCATGCAGCTCTTAGGGTGCAATTTAAAGAGCGAGCTGTTGTTTCAGAAGTATCAGCCTCAGGACGAAGAACTTTTCTCAGCTGCTCACCTTCTTATCAGTGCTATATCTGGTATGTTGTGAAGAGCCCTTTAAAAAATTTTATTTTCCTTTTAGAAGCTCCCTCCATGTTAAAGCTTTTATGGCTTTCTTTGAGCAGTTGGTGAGTTGCATGAACATAAATTGTTCTGTTCCCTTTTTATGAGTTTGGTATACTATGCTTAGCATTCCTGGCTGTGAATTAAATTCAGCCCTCAATCACTGACAGGTTCTTGTGTAAATTACACATTCCCCCAAGGCTGCTCAACTTTGCTTCTGCTGAGTGTGAGCATTTGCAGTTTGGCAAGCTAATTTCTGTACTTCCTGCATGCCAGAGTCCTTCTTGCCTATATGCTGAGAATTACAAATTAGGTGTTGTCTCCTGTGTAACAGTGTATATTGTTCAAGTGCAAACTAAATTTAGCAAAAATGAGTTTAACACAGAGACACTGCAGTTAGATTGCAGCTGCTGAAACAGGAGATTAAACATAAATGTCAAAAAAATACAATCCTCACAATCTAGTTGGCACCACAGTGTTAATTAAAACCTACCTGCAAAGTCCAAGACAGACTTCCCTGGATTTTTCTCTTCTCTCTTGTATATAAAAAATTCCCTGACATTAAGATAACGAAGGGAAGTCCAGTGTAAATTGTGGCACTGTGCAGCAGAATGTCACTGTGCATCCTTATATGCACAAGACCCAGGTGGGAGAGCTTAACTCATTTGTGGAGAGAGAAAAGAAATAGAAAACAGAAACCTGGGGATGTGGTATCAATTGTCAGATGCCATTAACAGCAGGGCACAGTTAATTGAGCATTATTACCTGACTTTGGACATAGTGTCTGCTGCTAAAGTCCAGACATAAGTGCAGCTGGATCTAGATTCAGAAGCTGTTTTATGCTTGTTGCTTGTGGTAGGAATTACAACCTTTTTGTTACGGAGTTGAAGTGCACCACAGGGATCAGTCCATCTCCCAGCATCGAGGCAGTCTCGGCTATGCCATTCCTCTCAAACTGTGCTTTGCAGAAGTTAGCATCACATATGGATTTTGGGAGCGTGTGTTCTTGGTTTATTCAAGGCCTGAGTCATTCATCCAGCCTGCAGACTCGGAGTTAAACACTGAGGAGATACTTAGGGAGGAGGCAAGGTGATGGGGAGGAAACCCCCTTTTCTACAAGTGCCTTTTCTTAAGGACAGAGATAGTCAGACCCTCCGCCCATCCCATTCTGTTCTGCAGGAAGGGGCTGGATCAGCCTCTTCCAAACATCCAGCTGAGGAGGACCTGTTAGCTCCCTGATAAAGCTCCTGTTCAGCGGCCAGCCTGGTGCAGGGTTCACTGGAAATGACCTTTGCCTGTGAATGTGTCCTCCACAGAGCTGCCCGATGACACCCTTGTCCTGCTGCGTGCCTGCTGTGATCTTCAGGTTGTTCCAGCCTTGTGTGGTTTGGTGAGTAATGGGGATGAGATGTGCTTGTGGGCACAGCAGCAGGAGTGGCTGTCCCCTCATATTTCTCCGCAATAAAGGAGAAGATGTCAAGCTCCAGTGGGAATTTCAGCTGTAGGCAGTGCTTAGCCAAGGTCAGAATCTGACATGGCAAATGTCAGAGGCAAATGCAGCATGTGGATATTTAACTTCTGAATATTGCTGTATTTGGAGGATTTCATGGCTTGGGAGCAAAAGAAAATTGTGACTTAAGCTCTGGTTTTATTTTTCTAATAGTCTCACTGTTTTAAAGTCTCAGGAACAGTAATCACCTCTCCTTGGGAAACAGAAATTTCGCTTTGATAGCAACAGCACTTGAGCCTTGGCAAACCCTGAAGTCTCAAAACTCTGAGGCCATTTGTTGTAACTGCTGAAGGAATGGTGCAGAGTAATGGAGCACCTCTCCTGTGAGGAAAGTATAAGAGAATTGGATTTGTTTAGCCTGGAGAAGAGAATGTTTTGGGGTGACCTAATTGTAGCCTCCCAGTACCTGAAGAAAACTTTGGAAAAGATGGAGAGAGACTTTTTACAAGAGCATGTAGTGACAGGACAAGGACTGGATTCAGACTGAGGGAGGGTAGGTTTAGATGGGAAGAAACTCTACTATGAAAGCGGTGAGGCACTGGAACCTCTGGTAAGCTTGCCCAGAGAAGTTGTGGATGCCCCAGCCCTGGAAGTATTCAAGGCCAGGCTGGATGGGGCTTTGAATAACCTGGTCTAATGAAAAGTGTCCTTGCCTGTTGCCAGGGGGATTGGAACTGAATCTTTTAAGGTCCTTTTCAACCCAAAACATTCTATGATTCTGTGATTTTTCTAAGTTTTTTAAAGTCACTTAGAAAAACAATAGTAAAATCCTTTAAATATGTAGGGGCAAAGGGAGTTCTTCTGTTTGCTCAGAGTGATAGGTGAGTGAGAGAAGCTGAGCTCAGGGAATGACACCGTAGGAGAGATGTTTCCCCTTAAACATGCCATAGAGCTTTGGTTCTGGATCAGTACATCGTACTTGGCAGGGCTAATAGCAAAGGGAATCTTGACCTTTTGCTGCTGCCTTGTCAGCTCTCCAGTGGTTTTTTATGAAATTGAGATGTGCAATGACAGGAACAGCAGTGCCTGGGAAATGTTTTAATGTCTCTGCCCTTTGCTCTCTCTCATGAATACAGCCTAACGTCGCTTCAGCTGATGGCACTGTGGCGCTGAGCAGTCCTTTGGTGGCCACTCTCGCTGACAGAGGAAGATTTGAGGTCGTGCAAAGGCTGTTTGCTTCATCAAACATTAATCTGGAAATGACAGAGTCTTCTGTAAAAGCTGTAACTATGAAAGAACCGAGATTCTTCCCACTTGTTCTTTATGTTGCACTGTATGGATTTCATGCTTTAGGTGGGAATGTATAGGAGCTGTACTGAGTATCCAGTTTTTTCTGTAGCCTGTTGCTTCTTTTGTAGCTCTGTAATTTTGGTGTGTTTAGGATCAGCAGTAGAGCTATTCCATTGGTAATTGGGGCAGCACAGCCAGGAATTAGGGTGACCAGGGGACTCTGCAGTTTCAGTGGAAAATACATAAATAAGGGATGAAGGGGAGAAATTAAAAAAGAGAGCCATGGGAGAGAAACTGAACATAGCTGCTCTGGTAGGTGTCAAATCTGCAGGGCAGTGAAAGCCGGATTGCTTGCATTAATATGCATGGGTGAAAACAGCAAAGTACAAACTGCGTTTTGTAAGCAAGCAAACAGGCAGGCCCTGGAAACCCAGGGTTCTGCAATGCAGCAACTGTTTTTCTGCTGAATGCATTCACTCTGGAGCAAGTGCAATGGAGGGCTCTTAAAAAGGTACTTGATTAGAGTCTCTTATTAATTATTGTTTGACTTTTATGGATATGAACTGCACACTGCAGGAAATAACAAAGCCTCTTTTTCAACCACCAAGACCCACTTTAGGGATTTATACCTCTGTACAGCATTTCTGTTTTCTGCTGTTTTTACTCATGTTTGCAAGTTTCAGCTGTTTAAACTGCATTCTGAACTCTGGCATGGCAATGCCTTCTGTTGTGTGCAGGTGAAGGGTCCCTGCTGCACACCACAGAAATGATCATTTTACCCATATGACATTTTCAGTGCAGATATTTTGCTTGTTTCTTTGACTAACAGAAAGGTATTAGTAAAGCACTGTATGCTTTAACTATTTTGCTTGTTTTTTCATCATAATTTTTTATAATCATGGATGGAACAGAAATGCACCAAAGATCACTGTAAATGTGGGCTTGGGAAGATGTTCCAAGTAGGTGGAGTATCAGTGCTTAGAGACGAGATCGTGAGATGGCTGAGAGACAAACAAGCAGGCACCTGTGTGGGGGTGATCAGTAAACAGGCCCTGCAGCGTAGCTGGTGGTTTGAAGTTCTGCTCAGTTTCCTGCTCTATTCCCACATGGCCTTGAGCAGATTGTCTAAGAAGCCTTTAAAAAGTCACATCAGTTCAGCTTTCCTTGAGGACATGGACTTTGCAAAAAAGCACCATTGTGCCTTTCCACTCCTGAGACCTCAGGATAGCTCTGCATGCTGGGATGTGGGCATTTCTGCATCTCATCTGTTCAGTGAAGCTGATGGTGTTGCCTGAACTTTGTGCTGGTGTAGAAGGAAAGATCCTTTAGGAGCTGAAGCATGGAACTCTGCTTCTGGGAGCGTTGTGTAAGTGGGACCGTTGTCTTTTGCCTTTCACTACTAAAAGTTGCCTCTGTAATGAATTTACAAAAACTTTCTATTAAATACTATGTCAAAACAATAGAATAACTTACGCATGTAATTTCCATTGTTTTTCTTTTGGGGACTACATCTTTGAAAAACAAGCGACTCCAGGCTGGCCTCACACGGAAAATGCTTTTCCAAGATGTGGTCTTACCTAGGAAAGGATTTGGTGAAAGACCCATAGGGTGCTTCAGACGAGGCTGAAGCTTGTCTCATAAAAGGTTTTATTTCACACCCTGTCTTAACCTCCTCAAAATACTGCTTTCCCTTTGCCTTCCCCAGGAGGAAGGCTGGGAAATCCACACCTTTGCAATGCAGGAGGTCAGCAGCCTTTCAAGGAATATGTGCTACCTGCAGAGGCCAGCAGGCTCTGCCTTGCTGCCAGTCCCCTGCAATTACCTCCTTCCAGCTGCTCTTTGTCCACTGGCCCATTCCAGCGTGGGCCCAGGAGATCAATTCCCTTTGTGCTGCAGTGCTCAAAAAATCAGGTGCCCAGATTCAGCAATGGCAACATTCCCAGGATGGCTGAAGAGCCCCCAAGGTCTCCCTGTGCGTGGAATGGAGATTTGGCACATTCATGAACATGAAGATAAGACTAACTGAAAAGCTGCTTTTATGTAAGTAGAGCACCAAAATCCACATATAAAAGGTAGATTCAAAAACTGGTTCTTGATACATTATGTAGCTCAAATGCAGACTATGACCAAAAAAAAAAAAAAAAAATCAGAAAAAAAGCCAATTACATTTTTTCAATATTAAATCTTTATTATATACAAAAATATTTTGTTGGGAATTAACAGAATTTCATCATTTGTACATTAACATTTTTATGTTTGGCTGTGTTTATTGTGAAAATACTAGCTGTGAAAAAGACAAGGTGGGGGGGGGGTCTTAGAAAACAAGCCACAATTTAAAAACATCCCATATAGTAGCTGACTTTATCAGTATGAAGTCACAATGCTAACAAGTCCCATATCCTAGGCCTGCTCTACAGTACTGTATTCAAACAATTAGGTACTAAATAATTTCCAGGTTTATATTAAAAAATTCAGCTAATGGTTAAGATTTTTCTTGTAGGAAGTTTTCAGCTAAAGAAACTATTTTTTACAGGAGAGCAGTTTTTAAAGATTTACAAATTCAAATCCAGGTTAATTTAATATACTGTAGAAATAAAAAAAAACACAAAACAGAAAACCATGAGAGCTTCCAACTGGCAGAACCGGTTGTGAGAAGCAAGGTAAGGAAACACCTGGTGACTGAGTTCTAATACATATTTAAAGCCAAACACAGCCAAGATCCTACAGTTCTTAGCCCAGTGTGGGGTCGGAGAGCAGCAAACTTTCTTGTTTTAAACCCCACAGAAGCAGCTCCCCTCCCTACACCACAGTGCACAAATGTTACACATGGGCAACATATGGAGGGTGGGGAAGAGATGCTTAACATGCATTTTCCTAGGGGGAAACAATGTATTTCAACAGTTAATCACACATAATTGTGTACACCACCTAAACCAACAAAAATCAGTCAAAACCTTTTTTTGCCTGTACAAAGCAGCACTGTTTGTTTTGCTTTATGCTGTGGATCATGGGAGAGGTCAGGTAACAGAGAGATTGGGTTTTTGGAAGAGGCTCTGCTGTATTCAGGTAAATGCTGGCTGCTTGTGGAGTAACCAACAGTTGGTTCAGCCACGTGAACAAACAAAATTGCATGGAAAAGCATTAGCATGGAGTTAGTGACATAAAAAGGAAAAGGCTAAATGGGAGAAAGTGTTTCCAGGACTACTTTAACTGTTACCTGACCACTGTCCTAGCAGCAAAAGGAACTCCATACCCAATGAGCATAAGAAATACTTCCAAATACCAAGAAAAAAATTAATTCATTTCAGGTGTTGTTTATTCTATAAAATATAAATATTGCTGAACCCCTGCTGAATTAATTCCATTTGTAGGTGAAGCTACATAAAAGCCTTCACCAAGCTGGAGTTTATTTTTAGGCCTGTAAATCCCAGCTGCAGTACCAGCAAACGAACTGAGAATTCAGCAGTTGACAATGTAACCATGGAATAGTATCCCACTGCAGAGAATTCAGGTAATTTAGTAGACACTGCCTGAATTATTTGCAGCATTTACCCCAAACTTTTATTTATATATATATATGTGTTTGTGTGTGTGGGTGCAAGCACACTTTTACTATGATTACAAGCTAAAGCTGCCTGTAAAATAACCAAAACTGATATTTTACAAGTGTTTTCTATTTTTATTTTTAGGATCTGTCTTGAGCCTAAAACCAGTAAGTTATAAAAGTCCTACATACTGATGTTCTTGTTAACTACTATTTCCTCTATAAGACACAAGTTGAGAATCCCAGACAATTGCCATCAGCAAGCCTGTAAAACATATGTGAAAACTAAGAAGTACAGGCCAAAAAAGAAGAAACCAAGGGGAAAAAAAAAAAGGGCAGGCCTTCACTTCAGCACTGTCAGTCACAACAGTCCACCAGAGAAAGTAAATTAAAGTACCCTTAAGGTTAGAAAGCCTTTCAGTGGCCCAGGAGAGGTTTTTATTGCAGGGAGAGGAGGGTGCTGGGAGCTGAGGGGTATTTAAGGCAAGAGGCCCAGCAGACTACGAGTCTTTGCTCCAGTACCCACCACACAGACACCAATAAAATGATCTCACCACTTCTGCAAAAGTAGCATCATGAAGTTTGGCAATAACCATGTGGTACTTGAACTCTTTGGAATTTGGGTGAGGCAGGGAACCCCACATGAAGCAAACAGCCTGTACAGATGTGCATGACATGCAACAGAGCCTCAGCTGTTGGTTATCTGAGAGCTGCACCCACAGGCACAATGGGCAGCGGGGCAGCTGCTGCAGGAGGCACTGCCCATGCACTGGGACACGGCCTCAAGGTTCAGTGTGAGCAGAGAAGCAACCTACAGGAAGCCTGGACGGGAAACCATGGGATGGGTGAAGGGAGTTTATGTTCACAATATTGGCTCGTGTAAGAACCCAGTTCCTGATCTCTGCAGTGCTCTGCTTGATCACTCTCCACTGGTCCTTGAGCATAGCAGAGGCCAACTGGGCTCAAGGGGGTACCTAACCAGGGGTTTTCTGTCTTTCAAAGAGAAAGAAGTTTCCTATTTCTTAGCTGAATAACCCTTTTCAATAAACAAAACCAAACCCAGGTGACTTCCTGAGCACTGAGCTGCAGGCAATTTGTAAGCAAGTCACTTAGGTATGATTTTAGAAGATGCAGTGAGTAGAGAGGATGAGGGAAAAATGTCACAATTTGAGCTCAGCCAAGATGTGACAGTTTATAAAAACACAAATCAGAAGCCATGAGCTGATCTGCCATCCTGCTCCACAAAGCTTTTGTACGACTAAGTACACAGAGCTGCCCTGAGCCAAGAACACGGCACAAGTCACAGATACTGCGTTGGTTATAAACTTGATTTTCCTTGCCTACAAAGATCTGTGATTCTGCTCCATGTTTACCTTCGTTGCAAGGTTTGCAGAACATTTTGAAAGACCTTTATAAATCTATGTAAGATGATGTATTCCATTATAATTATCCAACTAAACTTGGAGTGCATCTTTTCAGATGATGCAGAACTAAAGCAGACCTGCTATAACAAATAGAGACAGCAAGGTCATCACCTGGGTACACAGTGCACCACAGTATTTACAGGAGAGTTAAGATTGGTGCACACTTAAGTGAATTTTTGGTGAACTCAGGGAAATAACTTACAGGTCTTGGCATACTGACTGTACTTCTATGTATAACTTTTCATTCACAGGGCAACTACAGTGTTTCTTCTATATGTCTCTATATGTACAGAATTTTACAGCACCTCATGCACTGTCCAAAACAGATAGAAATTACAGATAAATATAGATTTTTTTTTTGTAGATTGAAATATCTGTATATTTAGAAAAATATACATTAGTAAACACAATAAACCAGGTAGAGAAGTGTACCAGTTCTAAAGTCTCACATGCAGGTAACATTTCTGGATTAAGTCGTGGTAGCTTAGTAATGTGATAGCCAACATGAGCAATTTTTGTTTTACCATCCACATACATATACACAGACAACTATTTGATAATTTACTTTTCTAAACTACTTAAATATTTATCTTGTGATACATACCACATATCTTAAACATTTAGCAGCATCTTCACCTCGCTCAGACACACCTATTGTACTCTTTAGCAGTCAATGAAAAGTTTTCCTCTTAGTATCTGGAAAATGAATGTTTAGTACAGAATGAGATAACGTGAAATCCAAGTTATTTTAACTCCTCCAAAATACTCTGAACAGGATTTTTATGAAATGCTTTCACTTGCTCAAAATAGTGGCCACAATGTACAGGCTGATGTCCAACAGCACACCCTGGCAGGTAGGGACCGTCCCTGAAACACCAGCATTTCAAGAACCTCCAAGAACATTCTTTTTAAAACATAGTAACTGTTATTCTCATTCCAGTCATTCTACCAGGTGGGGACAAACTAAGCAGAATATCTGATGAAAGAAAATTTGACTGTGCCAAAACCCAAAACTACCATGAAGAAACAAACCAACCTCTCTCCCCCTCTCACCATTAAACAATCCAATGTGAACACTCAAGATTTAACAAACAGATGCAAGGGGTGTGGTGTTTGGGTTTGGGTTGTTTTCCCCCCCTCAACCTGGCATACAGACAACCAAATCAGACCTGCAGATACTTCCACATGATCATTGTGCCAACCTAAGCAAGTCTCCTACTACTGCTTCAGAACTGCACTGCAGAATTGCTCATTGCTGTCTACACCACCACCGCCCAAAACTCTGCCGCGACGCTCCACCTCCTGATTTAAACCAACAGTGTGAACCCGTAGCAAACATTAAAATTTTAGGCTTTAGCAAATATGTGACTATTCTGGAGACTGCTAACTAGGGAAACTCTCTTGACAGTATTCTCTCTGGGATGGAAACAGAACAAGCAGAGAGAACCTGACTAAACCTTGGTGGCTGTGTTTCATGTGTTCGGGCCAGTAA